GTGTGTGGATGTTCGAGGGTTTGTGCCGTGCCGCACACACCTGCTGGGGGCCGTGGGGGCCGCGTCTGCAGTTTGGGCTGCTCCACATGTGGCTGCTGTGAGGAGCAGCGCCCGAGTCTGTGTGGACGTGCTTCGTTTCTCCTGCGGAGAGGTGGAAACACAAGGGCCGCGTCACGGGCCACGACCGCCGCTCCCTTTGCCAGAAGCCACCGAACCGTGGCCCGAGGGTGTGCAGCAGCTCGCGGTCCTGCCCGCGGCGTGTGGGCGTTCCGGCGGCTCCGCACCCTCCCCCGCACTCGGCGCTTGTGGTGCCATTCTAATAGGCGTACAGGGGTCTCTTATTATGGCTTTAGTTTGCATTTTCCTGGTGACTAGTGATGTTTAGCGTCTTTCTGTGTGCTTATTGGCCGTTCTGTTTCTCAAGTTCAGGTGTTTGCCAATTTCTATTGGGTCGTTCGGATTCCTATTATTGAGTTGTAGGAATTCTTGACGTATTTTGCATATGAGTTTGTCATATGTGTGTATGTGTGTGTATGAACGTCTACACGTGTGTGCAAACAGGTCTACACACATGCACATAGGCACATACACACACCTGTGGCCTGCCTTTCACCGGAACAGAGGAGTTCAATTTTTTAAAATTTTATGAAGTCCTATGTGTTTTATCTTTTCTGGTGCATCTTGTGCCCTCATCGAGCCCTGCCTCCCCCAATGCCGGGAGGACCTCCCGTGCTCCCCTCCGGAGGCTTCTTACGCGTTTAGCTTTTGGTCCACATCTGTAGATCCACTTTGAGATTCGTTTTGCCTGTGGTTTGGGACAGCAGCTGAGGCTTATTCTTTCTCTGTGGGTATCCAGTTGTCCCAGAACCATTTATTGAAAAGCCTCTCCTTTGCCCCCATTGAATCCATTTGAAACATTTGTCAGAAATCAAGTAAACATCAGCGGAAGGGGCTCTTTCCGGACGCGGTTGTGTTCTGCTGAGCGGGACGTCTCTCCAGCGGTGGCAGCACGCCATCTTGATGATTCTACTATGGTAGCTGAAGGCCTGAGGACATCGGGCAGTGTAAATCTTCCCATTCTCTGCTTCTTTCTCTAGGTTAGTTTTGCTTTTCCCAGTCCTTCGCATGTCCATATACGTTTTACAGTCAGCTTGTCCTTCTCCACGGTCTGCACTGGGTCTATTTGTGCAGAATTGATGTTCTTTCTTTCCTGTGTGTTTGGTGGAGGGCATCAGTGAGAGCGCGTGGGGCCAGAGCCGCTTTGCGGGGAGGCTGGAAGTCACCCTCCGTCAGTCTCGCGACAGCTTTGAGAGCCATGCAGAGTCCCTCTTCCATTTTTGAGCAAGCTTTGGAAGGTTATGTTTTTCAAGGCAACTGGGTTGTCGGTTTATTTCTCAGAGGTTCACAGTATCCTCCTAGTCTCCCCTTACTGTCTGTGGGATCTGCAGCCGCGTCTCCCGTCACACAGAGCCTTGTGCCGGCCGGTGCGCGGGTCGCTCCGTGGTGGATCCAGGCGCACTGGCGCCGAGCACGTGTCCCGTGGCCGTCGGGGGGCGTGC